CCTGGGTTTGATTCCCCAGCACCACATAAGCAGAAAAAGCCAGAAGTGGTGCTGTGGCTCAAGTGGTGCAGCGCTAGCCTTGAGCCAAAGAGCTGAGGGACAGTGTCCAAGCCCAGAGTTCAGGCACCACGACTGACAGAAACAACAACAACAATTTTCTTGATCCATTTATGGAATTCTATGCCTCCATCAGAAAGAATGACATTGCCCCATTTGTTAGGAAATGGAAAGACTTGGAAAAAATTATATTAAGTGAAGTAAGCCAGGCCCAAATAAACATAGGTCCTATGGTTTCCCTTATTTGCAATATCTAGTATATGTCTGAGACAAGCAGAAACGGTCAGATAAGTTGATGTTGGGTGAAATGAACTCCAAGATAAGGATTCAATTTTTTTTTCTTTCTTGCGATTGTTTCCAACATATTTATAGACTATTTCTTTGTTGCTTTGTATGTCCCTCCCCCACAGTATAACCCCTGTTTTCACTGTATTTGATGTTGGTATAATTTGTGGAGGGGAAGGGAAAAAACAAATTGTTTAAAAAGGGATACAGGTGGACCCATTGCAACAATGAGATGTACAGGGCGTTAGGTTGAGAAACGAACTTTACAACTTTGACTGGGCAATTACATTGCCCATGTAATTGTAACCCCTCTGTATGGCGTTTTCACAATAAAAAAAAAAAAACAAGTATTATTGCCCATCCTTTTCTATATTTCTACTCTCAATAAAGCTATAAGAAAAATTTATTTAAACAATGTAATGTTCTCATACTTTTCATATTGTAGAAAGTATGTTCTGTCTAACGTACGTGTAAATAGGTCTATTGTCTGTCAGAAAGCAGAAGACATACCATTTGGGCCTTGTGTGCTAGTTGAAAGGACACATGTGTGAATGTGTGAGTAAGCTACCAGGGATGACATGCAAGTCCTCTGTCACTCAACCCTTCTTCATGAAGCTGATGCTAAATAGTTCTTGTGCCTCTCATATTTTGTTGCACCTGAGACAAGAAATGAAAGAAGGAAACCAGCATTCCTTTGTGCTACTATGAATGTGGTCCTGGTCTTTTGTCAAGTTTTACTTTATCTTTTTTATCTGAATCTCCACCATAAGCCTGAAAAGCCTGCTTCTGAATTATGAAAGTTTGAACTTTACATTGCCAATGTTATGTCTTCTTTCAAATACAAATAAACTCACACTGTAGGAGGCTCTTCAGTGGCCACGTCCTTTCCTGTCCTCTTAGAGTTGTCAGGCTAACAGATTTATTGCACTCCTGCTCTCTTGCAGTGAAATGATTTCTTTAAAAGTCCAATCATAACGTCTCTGCTTAAAACCTTTCCAGAAATTATGCATGATCATGGATAGATTGTACAACCCTCTTCCTCTCTGTTTCTTAATTACATTGATGTACATGCTATCTAAAAATCCAATCTCCTCGTCCAATATCTTCCCTTGTCAGTCTTTATCAAATTAATTTTGTTTCTTCTTAGATCCTTAATATTTATACTTGTATAGCTATTTAAACGTTACAGTGTGTGTGTGTGTGTGTGTGTGTGTGTGTGTGTGTGTGCGCGCACGAGTGTGTGGAACAAAATACTTAAGTCATGAATTATAAGTTTATTTGTCTTGGAGTTCTGGTTGTTGAAAGATCGCAATCACATGATATCCATGTCCTACCAGAGCCTCTTGGCTGAAACAACTACTGTCCACAGAACTAATCCACTGCAATAAGCTCAGCTCACTCTGAGAAACCAGCTTTAAAATATCCATCAGGGTGAAGCCCCAAGACCTAATTCCTTTCCAATAGGCTCACCTCCTAAAGACTGCATCACTTCAACCCTCTCAGGGGCTTACCTAGAACTTTTGGGAGATTAGCCATATCCAATCAACAGCAGATTCTGACCACTCTGTTCTTAAACCTAAGGGAAGGGCTGACCACTATAGTGCTTTATAGAAAATATTACTCTTTGGCTTATCTGAGCCCAGATGATTCTCTGTGATGATATATTCCCTCTGACCTGCTTCTGCAAATATATAAACTCTGTGCTACTTTGTGTAGTGTTTAAGATGGGCAATTCTGTATTCCAGCTGCTCAGGTAAAATTCCTTGATTTGTAATTTAATCAAAGATTTTTTTGAAGAAATCAAGAGTATAATAAAGAGAATTGCTTTATGTTCTGAATTAGTAGAAAAAAATATAGGATAAGTTATTGACCACTCACTGTTACCTACATCTTTATAATATTTTTCTAAATCAGATTGTTTCCCTATTGTTATATATTAAAATATTCCAAAACAGATACTGTAATTATTATGTTTGCAAATCATAAATAGTGCAGTATAAATGCTAAAAAAATGTGTCATGTGAGTGAAAAAATGAATTGGACATCTGAAAATCAAAATCAAATAATCTAGCCTACAATGGATTCTTCACATTCATGCATTCAGAAATGCAAATTTTTTGACATTAAAAGAATAGATTCTTGAATTGGATGGATTTTACACTCAGAGAATAATCTTCCAACAAATCAAACAGATGTGTATTAACGTAATATATGAAAGGAATAGTTGTGAAGCATTTCAGGGTATAGGTAAATAGATTCTCCTCAAGGCATAGTGTTTTAGTCCAGCACTGCTATTTATAATACTTCTTTCCTGTTTGTGGCATAGAAGAATTTGCACATGTGCAACATCCTTGTGTGCAGTCTAAACATTTCTTTCACTGACAGTTTAATGACATGATTTAAGCAGAAAACCATGTAAGGGAAAGAAGATATTGAAGCAAATTAACTTTGCAACCAAGTATAAAGGAAGTTTCCAGTTGAGATTATTTGTGTGATTTATGGATACATACTAGCAAGAATTAACTTTATCCAATAGCATTTACAATCTTCATCTTGGAGCAGAAATATAAAATATAACATCAAATGCCTTAAGAATAAATGAAAGAATCTTATTCATGTGGCTCAAGGAGTAGAGCACCAGCTGTGAACGAAGGATTTGTTCAAGCTCTGGAACCTTAGAGAGAATTCATTCTCTACTACACTCAAGTGACTTTAGAAACTATCACACACACACACACACACACACACACACACACACACACAAATTCCAGTCTTAAAATGAAAACACTAAAAATGCTTATGTACAGTGATAATACTCAAACTGGATAGACATTGGGGAAAAACATAGGACAAATTTTATGTTCAATGATTTAAGGAAGCATTTAGTTTAATTTTGTTTCAGTGGTTGGCAAAGTCTAAGAATGATTATGAGTGAACCTCTCCTTGGTTGTGCGTGAGGCCATGATGATGATGTTTTAGGATAGCTCTGGCATATTTTGTAATGAGAAAACATTGAACAGGCAAGTGTCCTTCCTCTATGTTATGGAGCTCTTTAGGAAACAAATGTTTGTTGTAGCTGCTTGAAGTAAAAGAAAAAAGTATTTGGATTATGAAATATTATTTTTATGATGCAAGAGATTGAGCTCAGGGCATTGGGTAGGTTTTGAAAATATTTTGCAACTTGATCTATACCCTCTACCCTTTGGTGTTGCATTGCTATCTGGTATATATCAGGCTGGCTTCAAACTCATGAGGCTCTGGAGCTTTTGCATAGCCAGAATTACAGGTATGTACCACCATGCCAGGATGGAATAATGCTTGTTTGAAAGCATTGGCATCTCACAGCCCTATGACAAGAAATATTTATAAGAAATACAGGATCAAGAAGTGAAAATATAGTCTTTGCTGACTGGAATGTGTTCACTAATTCCTCAACAATCCAATTAAGAGCTTGATCCTACAGAAAATCTGATTTTAGCCAAGTAAGACACTGAACTGATAACCCCATCAAACCTACCTGAGGTTTTAGCCTATAGAATTAAAACACAATCAATGTGTGTTGTTTTATATGACTAAGTTTGTGGTTATTTGTTATGTAGCAATTGAAGGCTAAACACATGCTCATTACAAAAGATCACTGGCTGTCTAAGATCTTAATGATCATGCAAATTTAATTAAGAAGGCCATGCGAAATTAACTTGAGAGGTCAGGGTATAAGAGCAGGCATTATGGGCTGTCCATTTATTAATTGGATCTGAGTGTATGTTAATACCAGAAGAATATTATAGATACATTTTATAAGCAAAGTATAAACATGTAGTGCTAACTGAAATGTACATTTAGAGATCATACTTTGTATAGTAAATGATCCTTTGTATGGAAATATCAGAACTTATGTTGTTAAGTCAGTGGAAAGACAAACAATTGAATCACAAAAGTCTTTTTGATAGAAGGCTCCTGTGGTAGGGTCTTTAACATCACCCAAGACAAGAGAAATTGAGTTAGCCCACTGAAATTTTTATACAGTATCTTTAATAGCATCTGAAATTTATCTAAGAAACTGTTCCCTTTCAGGAGTGGGGGAGAAAAGACAAAGAGCAATGTCAATAACTATTGTCTATATAGAACCTGTAGTCTTCTTTTAGTTGGGTAGAATTGTCAGTGTCTCTAGTGTCTCTACTGACCCAGATCTGTGAGATTATAATTTTAATTCAAATTTAGCCTTGCTTAAAATACATGTCTGTGAGAAGAGCAATCCAGAATTTTAAGAACATAAAACAACATGTAGTTAGTCAATGGATTTGACAAAATGCACATGATCCACAAATTAAATTATGTTTAAGATGGTCCTCAGAGATAATGGTGATTTTCCCTTTACATGTGCTCATACATCAAAACTGTAAGAAATATTTACCAAGGTAAAAAAATCATTCAGTAATTTTAAATTTTACTCAGTAATAGTAGGTGATTTTAAATTTTACTCAGTAATAGTAGGTGAAAGTAAACGCTAATCTTAGAACGTTGGAGAACAGAAAGCCCTAGGGTAAGTGGTTCTTCTTGTTATTTCCCTTGGGTTCTGGGTGTCATTATGATGTCACTCTTACGTCATGAATCTAAGTTCACATTACTTACATCCTGGCAAGTCATAGGTGGGAGAAATGTCTGTACCAAGATTGTAAGTCCTTTGGTCAAATATTAGGTTTTAAACTAACAAATGTTGCAGCTAGCTTATTATTACAAACTATTTATTATTGTATTATTACCATACCTTTCAGAAGCAAGAGCAAATCTTTCACAGTAATATATTCTCCAGCAATGTCACTGGCTATTTCTTTTCTAAGGCTTACCTATGTACCCTACTTCAGGAAAATGGATGGGTTTACAAAAATATATTATTTTAAAATTTTTCCTTATGCTTTGTTATTTTAAAGGTGATGTATAGAGAGGTTATAGTTAAATAGGTCAGGCAATGAGTACATTTCATTTTGGACAATGTCACCCATTCTCTCATTCTCTTCCAGTTTCAACAGTATATTTTAAAAAGAGACAAACAAAACAAAAACAAAAAACCCACCTGGAATACCTAGGTGTTTTTTTTTTATCACACTGTATTCTGAGAAATATAAAATTGAATCAACACAGTTCTGCGCCATTGGAGGCATTTGGAGATTTCTAGTAATATTACAAACATCACAATCACCGAGGAAGGCTAATGCAAAGGATATGGGTCAGGTTTCTTAAACCTCCAGGATAAACATTGCATCACTACAGAAAGAAGACAAGCCAATTGATAAATTACATCTCCTTTGAGAAGTAGTGAATATGTGATAGAGACATTGGAAGTAATAGCTGAATGGTAGTTGTTTTTTATGTCTAACTTATTTTTGGAGAAATGAGATAGGAAAAGAATAATTTTCAATCTGTCAATCTTTTTTTACACAAGATAAAGAACAAAGGTACTAAAACTTTGAAATACAAAATAGGGTCTTGGAGGATTTTTAAAAAGAAATAATTTTATTAAACAGAAGATGATCCAAAAGTATTGCAATTAAAATATTCTTACCTTAAGTGTTGTTGCCTACTTCCTTAGAGCAATCTTGATAAAGTTTAATTTAAAATTAAACTATTATCTGTTATCTGGCATGTTAGAATAACACTAAATCATCATAATTTAAAAATGTTTAAGTATAGTCAGGTGCTGGGGGCTCACACTGATAATCCTAACTACTCAGGTGGCTGAGATTTGATGATCACAGTTCAAAGTCAGCTTGGGCAAGAAAATCCTCTTGAGACTCTTATCTCCAATTAACCACTGAAAAACTAGAAGTGGTGCTGTGGCTCAAGTAGTAGAGCACTAGCATTGAGTACAAAGAGGCTGAGGGACAGCACCCAGGCCCTGAGTTCAAGCTCCACAATTGGCAACTAACTAAATAAACAAAGAAAGAAAGGAAGAAAGAAAGAAAGAAAGAAAGAAAGAAAGAAAGAAAGAAAGAAAGAAAGAAAGAAAGAAAGAAAGAAAGAAAGAAAGAAAGAAAGAAAGAAAGAGAGAAAGAGAGAAAGAGAGAAAGAAAGAAAGAGAGAAAGAAAGAAAGAAAGAAAGAGAAAGAAAGAAAGAAAGGAAGAAAGGAAGAAAGGAAGAAAGACAAGCATCATACAGTATCAATGGGATTTCTGTATTGGTATCATGAACAATGTATGATTTTTTAAGAAATTCTCCATAATGATTAACTACATTTGTTTATGGTGATTATTTTGTATAATACCTAGACTCTTTTGTTATTGGAGAAAGAAAATATGGTAGTCATAATCGAATGACATTGCTATTAACCAAAGAAATCAAAATCCTTAGCAACAAATTAATATATTTCATTCAACTTGAGTGGCAACTCCCAATCTATTTGACGTAGGAAATTTGAGATGCTGGTCTTTTCTCTATTGTCTTATTTTATGTTTGCCTCTTCTCGTTTACTGTTTGAATTCATCCAGTCCTCCTTTGATAGTTTTACCTTTACTTGCCTTTGTTTCTGAACTCAGGTTGTAGTGATCAAATCAGCACTTTCATTTTTAATGTTTCAACAGTTAAAAAGGCTAAAAGATTTGAAATCAGAAAGGGCATATAAAATCCATATAAATGACCATCAGTGCTCATCTACACTGTAAACATTACATATTTCCCTCTCTAAGATGCCTTCTGTTAACTGTGTTAGAATGGAGACTTCCCATTGTCTATAAGAGGGTTTGTTAACTCTGCTCTACCTTTGTTGGTGTGGAGTTTAGAGTGCAGGATTTCAGTATTCTGTGCAGTTCAGACATTTAGCAGCATCCCTAGCCTCTCCCTAGGTATGCAGTATCATCTCACACTCCTCTATAATTATGATAACCAAAATATTTTCAAACATTGCAAAATGTTTCATGGGTAAAGGGTTTAAAATAACATGATATAGAGAAACTTCTTGAGAAATTATCAGGAAAAGAAAACCTCACCTCCCATAGAACCAACCTTCAGCAAGAAAACAAGCACTGGCTTTGATTTTATAAACTACACCTTGAGCAGGATTGACTCAGGCAACACTTAGTAATTGGAAAATTTTCCACTAAGTCATTCATGGTCTTATTTCCTCTACCACTAATGCAAAACCTACAGACTTCAAGCATGATGGCAGGATTATCTAGGAATAGGCTCACAAATAGAACTGTCTGGTGACAATTCCCATAAAACTGAGAAATATCATATTGCTTAAAATCTTTGGCCTTTGACTTTCCTGCATATTTTTAATACATGTCCAGTCCAAAAACAGCAAGAAAAAGTACATGCATTTTTATACAGATTGAATTTTTTCAAGACTGAAAGAAAGTACAAAGTTGGTTAAATATGTATGCCTTAAAAATAACCTCCTCTGTCAGTACTGTAGACATGTACATTTCTTTGAAAAAATAAAGTCCCGATATGTCCTACATTGGGAACCTGACTTATTTTTTCAGAATTTTATGTGGTGTTGGTGGTTCATGTTTGCAATCCTAGTTACTTGTGAGGCTGAAATCTGAGGTTTACAATTCAAAGCAACCAGAGTGCACAAATATGAGAAACTCAAATGGTAGAGTTCAGGCCTTGAGTGAAAAAGTCAAGGAAGAGAGAAAGGTCCTGAATTTGAGAGCCAGAACTGGCAAATAACTATCTCTAAATCCCATTTCTTTTTCTAAATCATGAGCACATTTACAATCCTCATTGCTAACAATTAAAAACCATCTTTATATTAAAAAATCTCAGGTACTGAGAATGTTTTGGAAAAGACTGATCATATATACTTCGAGTTAAGGCAAATAGATGACTTTATCCATTTTATTTTTAGTAATATGAAGAAATGATATAGACAGACAAAGACTGATGGGGGTCGGCTGTGGGGAGAAAGTGAGACCAAAGACCTTAATAAAAGCACTAGTCATATTAAAACAGAATCAAACCTGACTTAATAGTTGCATGAAAGTCATTAAATTAGAACTTTCTTAGCCTTAAGAAGCTTAATTTAAACTAATGGAAATGCATATATATTCACATGCTCATCCACTTTTTTCCAAAACAAGGTTGTAAGAAGCACTGAGTTTATAACTTTTAATAGTTTATTTACTCAAAGAAATATCAAAAATTGAATCCAAATGGATCTGACTCTAAAAGGATACGACTTGCCCAGGAAGGCAAGACAAAAGATGTTCTCACAAGCAGACCTGGATACTTAAAAGTACTCATTTTATTCATATTTTGAGCTAATATAAAAATCTCTGTAAAATGCAAGAAAGCCAAATTTCATTGATTTTTTTGATTAATTCTAAATCAACATTAAGACATATATAGACGTTTTTGAGCCCAGCAGGAAGTTTCACTACGTTAAATCCCACTCAATAATACATACTGCTTCCTCCCCACAAATGTCTGCTAATACAGACAGTCCTGAGATGCAAAGAGAAACACTATGGGATAGTCTCATATCTTTTGATATTTTTTTCAGTAGAATATATCTGGTGTATCCATGTTGTCATGTTGTAGCTGTCAGAAACTCATTTTGTAGATTTCCAAGTACCACTCCCTTATGTAATTACTTCCCAGTTGATTTTGTGTTGGACAGTTAAATAAGTTATTGGATTAGAAATAAAGCTAGAGTAAACATTTTATCCAAGTATTTGTGAACTTCCATATAGATGGACACACACTGTGTGTGTGTGTGTGTGTGTGTGTGTATGTTGTGTGTGTTCTGTTATTTCCCTGCGAATAATTTTAAGTTTCTTACAGGAACACACATATCTTTCAGATATAATATTTGGACACATATTTATTCATTTCTACTATCCTAGAGTTAATATTATTTTGTATAATAATGGAAATTGGAGAATGTAAAATAGTTAGCTACTTGTTATAACTGCTTATATATATAAAACAATGGTCATTAAACAAACTGAATTGTATAAAATAATCTAAACTTTTTTCTTTTATTTTAATAGCCAAAAAGTAAACTTTGGATCATATGATAATTATATTCCAGGTGAGATGTTTAATATTTATTTTAAAACATGAATAGTTATTTTCAGGATTATAAGTGGTCATGGAATACACTGAATGGTAGATATTTTCCTTCCAAAAGAACTTTTCTTCTGGATTCAGTGAATATTTTTTATATCTATGTACTTTTGTTTTTAAACCTAAGTAAAATTAAGCAAATAGATTCAGTAACATACAGATAGTTCTTCTATTTGAAACAGTGTAGAAACTTGATACACAGCCTCTCACCCCACTTCTCATACTGGATTTTGGGTAGATGCATCCAGTCTAACTGGCAGAAACATTTCCTTAAAAGATAAGCCAAATATTTTGGTGAACAAATGCTTTTCCCTCATATCTTGAGCTTAAAGAATTTAAGTTGTAAATTTTTATTTACAGCTATAAATTTTATTATGTAAGTGGTATTATTTTTTCATTCTGTAAGTTGTTTATACTGTTTCAATATTGTATTTAGGTAATTCATAAGTAAAGTATATTCTCTTGTACAAATCATAACATTCTCTATTGCCTTGTTTCTAACATAAATAGCATTACTGATTTGGGGGGGGGGGTGTCAGGTAACTTTTTCCAAAGTAACTACATCCTTATAGTCACCATTCTGTAGATGTTTTGTCATGTTTTACATGTTTGTGAGTAAATGTAAAACATTTACTCACAAATACCCTTGGCATTAATACTTACTTGAATTTTAATCATTTTAATACTTTTTAAATGGGCTGGATTTTCTTTTATAATTCCTTACTTTTTATATTTTTTCTGAACTTCAAGAGGTTATACAAGGAGGTTACAAATTAATGTGTTCCTGAAAGTGCTCAGTGCCTCTTGATCAGTCACCCCTTCCATTATTTTCTCCCATCCCACCTGTCCCTTCCCCCCAGATTAATTTCACATTTTCTACTTCCTTTATTATAAATGTACACTGATTACTCTTATTGTATTTGTCTCCTGTTTCTTTTTCCATTTATCTATTCTCCCTCTCTGTCTCTCTAGCCCTTCTTATAATCTGACATTCAGTTTTTGAAACTTTCAATAATTGGTCAAAAAGTTTACTCCACAAAATTTTACTCCTGTGTATATACACAAAAGTCAACTAAACCACACATATATAATACACACACATATATATTCATATATATATACATACATAAGCATATAACTCTGTGTGTTATTTTATGGGGGTTGTATTTGGGGATTGAAATCCACTTTTGCAAGAGAATATATACCCTTGGTTTCCTGTGTCTGGCTTAGTTCAATCAGTATATGTTATTTTTCAGAACTATCCATTTTCCTGCAAATGATCAAATTTCATTTCATTCTTCCTGATGATTGCATACAATTCCATTGTACACTTACAGACATATATCTATATATGTATTTGTGTATATACACATATATACACATGCATATACATATACATTGCAAATATCTTGGCCATTGTTAACTGTGTTATGATGAACTTGGGTGTGTAGGACTTTTTGTTGTATACTGATGTGGAATCATTTGCATAAAGGGCCACAAGTGGTATCACTGGATTACAGGGTAACTCTATGCTTAGTCTTTTGAAGAATATTCATACTAGTAGTACTAGTTTATATTCTCACTGATATATATGAGCCTATCTTTCTCTTCATTCTTGCCAGCATTTGTTACTGTTGGTTTTCTTGATGATGGCCATTCTTGCTGGGTTCAGATGGAATTACAAATAGCATGTCACCAGTAAAAATGTGGTCCCTGTATATACAGGATTTACACCTTTATAGCATGGAAAACAAATGTTAACTAAATGTCACAGTACTTAAGATTCAATCACATATTACTCACTATTGTGTGCTAGGCATTTTGTGAAGCAATTTGAGAAATACAAAAGAAGTTAACATATTTTGTGTTCTTAATAGAATTATATCCTAACCAAAAGAACATATAGTACACTCTAGACTGGAAGAGAAAGTTGTAAAAGGAAGTAGGACTAATATTTCTTCGCATTTGTATTACGGATTACATTAGTTTTATGATGACTATATAAGTCTTGTCAAATTTTATAAAAAATAATTTTTCTTTAGTTATGCTTATCACACAGAATCTTTAACATTAGTATGTAAATTAAGCTGTAATTCGAATAACTTATGTGCATGATATGTATTATACTTACTGGCATTTTCAACTTTGATAAAATTCTATTTACCGAAAGCACATTTTATCTCCCACATTTTAGTCAGTGAATTAAGTAAAAAATCATGGAATCAACAACATTTTGCCTTGGCATTTCCCAAACCACCTCGCCCAGGAAAAAAAAAGAGATCAATACCTTCCCAACAAAGTGACAGTCCAGCTCCTGTAAGTGTTGAAAACATTATTTGCCTATTAATACTAGTTTAATTTCTTACTAGCAATGAGCCTATGAAATCATGTGTTAGTCTAAGTATAAAGTATTGAACTATCTCAGCATCTAAGTCTAAATCAGAGCTTAGTAAGGTTTCAGTGTTGGGGAGTAGAGGATAGACATCTGCATGTCAAAGAGACTATCAACACTGGAAACCAGCCTACTACAAAGGAAGAATTAAAGTTTACATATCAGAAACATTTCAATTTAAGTAAAGATCACATATCGCTGCTCCCTTAGCTAGGATATTTAAAAATAATTTAAAAATAATTCGAATGCTACTAATTGGAAGAAACTGTATCCATTTTATTTGCATTTCTTTGTACAGCTTTTCTCATGTTAACTATGTTCAGCAGCCTTGCATTGTATAAAAAGGTGTTTAAGAACCATGGGAACTGAATACTCTAACTTACAGTTTATATGAATATTCAGGAATAGTTCACCAGAGACAGTAACTCCCTTATTGAAGTTATCTAGTTGTATTGTGGCCTGTAGATTACCTCCCATAATATTGGAATTCAGGAGTCTGAAAAGTGGAATCAAAATAATTTCTCAGTAGTTCCTGAGATATCATGGAAAAGATGTATAAAGATATGTCCTCCCATACTTAAAAGCATCACCAATTATTTTTTATTTTAGGAAATGAATCCAAACACTGGTGATTAGTATTCTTTTCCTTTCTAATTATTTATCTTTGTATTTTTGACACTTGTATTAAAATTAGCTATTTTGACCATTTGATTTTTGCAAATAATTGGTTAAAAGATGAAAAACTGTGTCATCCAAAGCCTTGAAAAATACATATTTTCTAATTTCAGTTATCCACATAGTGATACGTGATTTATAACTAATCAAACAGGAGGAATTGCAAACTTTTTCATGTAACTACAGGTGTTACCCTAATTTCCAGACAAGTTAAAAGTGAGAATACAGATCAGAATATGTCTTAAACTGAAACTGCTAAGTCTTTGAACATAATTAATTTATGAGTTACTTTAGAAATAAAGGAAAAACTAGACATTTCAAGATTTATCAATAGCAGGGTAAAAAAAATAGAATAGCCTCTCAAACATGGAGAGGTTTTGATAAGTCATGATACCATGGGAATCTTTAACAATTTTAACATAGAACTTTTAGGAAATTTGGTAATTCTCTAAATTGAATGTAGGTACCAAAGGATTGAATGTAGGTACCAAAGGATGCATCTATTAGTTTAACAATGCTCAATTTAAAAAAATAAGCATATATAAATGACATAAATTATCCACCTTATCTTAAAAATCTAGTCTATGTGAAGAGCTAAAGTCAATTTGTTGTGTGTTAGGAAAGATTGTTTAAAACAATTTTCTCATCATTAGTTTGACAAACATTTCAGGTAATTGATGAAGGAAGATTGGGAATGCATAGACCACCCTTATGGATGCACCGTTCTTTAATGAGAATTTCCGAAAGACCATCTGTTTATTTAGCTGCCAGGAGGAGGCCTCCCCAGAAACCATCTCAGTCCTCCATGGGTGATTCTAAAGATTCAAAAAAATCTTTCTCTCCAGTAGTCAATAAGAAAGCACAGAAAGGGAAATCCGATTCCGAATCAGAGCCCAAAGTGAAGACGGCAGAACTAAAGAAGGGCAAAGATTCATCCACAGGCTCTGAAGATGAGAAGGCTACCTTAAAGAAGGGCGCCAAGAAAGTGAAAAAGGATGCAAATGGCAAAGACTCCACGACAGGATCCGAAGATGACAAAGCTGCCTTGAAGAAGGGCTCCAAGCCAGACAAGAAGGTTGCAAAGGGCAAAGAGTCAACGACAGGCTCCGAAGACGAGAAGGCTGCCATGAAGAAGGGCACCAAGAAGGGCAAAAAGGATGCAAAGAGCAAAGACTCCACGACAGGCTCCGAGGATGAGAAGGCCGCCTTGAAGAAGGGCGCCAAGAAAGACAAGAAGGATGCAAAGGGCAAAGACTCCACGACAGGCTCTGAGGACGAAAAAGCTGCCTTCAAGAAGGGCGCCCAGAAAAATGCCAAAGGTGGGAAGAAGAGCAAAGAGGGAAACACAGAGTCTGAAGGTGAAAAAGGAGGTGATAAAAAGGGTAAGAAAGATCTAAAGGACAAAAAATATAAAAAGGATGAAAAGAAGAGAGGGAGTGGAGACAATGAGTCAAAGCATGACATCAAGAAAGACAGCAAGAAAGAAAACAGGAAAGGCAGCAAGAAAGAAGGCAAGAAACGCCCCAAGAAAGACAGTGACACCGAATCTGCTGAGTCCAAGAAGGGTGGAAAGAAAGGCAAATAGACCTTGGACAAAAGAGGAATAGGAAAGCGAAATTGAATCACACTATAAAAGAAGGATCAGATATTTTCTAACAACAAGACGTATTCTAAAACATTTTAACACACAAGAAAGATCTTGAGAAAATTAAAGGAATATCCATTGAAATATCTGGAATAAATTTTCAGATGCAGTATAAGATCTCTAAAGATTAAAGAATATTCAAATAACCGTGTAGAACATAATGAAATTAAACATATGGATACAAAAGTAACGTTCAAAGAAAATGCTGTTCAGTAAGAACTTTGAAAATCCAGGGAAAGCAGATGCTGAATCTCTAAAATTAAAAAAAAAAAAATCTTCAAGCTGCATCCGCAAACTTAAAGAAGAACAGGAGTCATGGAACCGCTTTCAGAAAATCTAAAGTGAATAATAAAGATAACTTGGGGGAAAAAAAGAAAGGGAGGAAGGAAGATGGAAAGAAGGAAGGAAAGAAGGAAGGAAGGGAGGAAAAAGACTAGAAAAGGAAAAGAAAGAAAAAGGAATTGCTTTCTTTCCTTGAGTCCACGAGATTTAAAGAACCACAAAATGTCTGTCTTACAAATCAAGATGAACATACTTGGTAAGTTACTTTTGTCTTATTTTAAGCCAAATGGAATGAATAAAATAAAATATGAATCCATTACAAAATTTAATTGATGCTTACTATTCTGATAATTGCTCTGTAATTTACTAATTAAAATAATTGTTCAAATTTTTATCAAGTTTAGGCAAACTCGTAACAAAAAATGTTTGACTACAGAGAGATCATTAAGTAAATTAAGCCCTAAATGATGTCCATTAAAAGATAAAGAAATAGGAAATTATTTTGGCTGCAGAATATACTACCTTATGATAAACACTTCTAAAAAGAGATTGTGAATACGTTTATTAGGAAAAGTAAGTACATTCTTTACACTTTAGGAAGAATAAAAATTAAAAAATGAAAACTCACAATAATTGTGCATAAGTGTGTTTCCACATGAAGGGATTTTATATGTCCCTTCATCATATGGGAGAAAATATACACCTTTTGTCTCTCTGAGCCTGACTTATTTAATATAATCTTCTAAGGCCCAGAATTTCCCTGAAAGTGACATAATACTATTACTCCTGAAGAATGAATAAATTAAAATTTCTGATGGAATTATGTTTATAATAACCACTCAATTTACACTTTATATTCAATTTGTAATTCATGTATAATTCTATACAGTAGAATTGAATTTATATATTAAATCCAATTTACATACCAATTTTCTTGACTCATGTTTCAATTGTAGGGCATCTCTTAGTTGTGTGTGTGTGTGTGTGTGTGTGTGTGTGCGTGTGTGTATTCTGATGAGTACTGCAGCAATGATCATATGTATGCAGATGTCTCTACTGGATTCTGATTTGTAATATTTGGATAAATTCTCAGTAGTAATATTACTAGGTAATAAGGTAGTTCTATTTATAATTCTTTGTGGAATTTTCACACTGCCTGATGTAATGTTTGTACTAATTTACCTTTCCACTAAAAATATAATAAGCATCTTTTCACGCATATCCACACCAGCATTCCTTGTTGATAATATTCTTGATGTTGGCTATGATTACTGGATAAGATAGATTTTTCACTGTTTTGATTTGCATTTGCTTTGTAGCTAAAGATTTTCAGTATTTCTTCGTATGTGTATTGGCCGCTTTATGTCTTCTTTTTCTTTCTTTTCTTCTCTTTTTTTTTTTTTTTTTTTGGCCAGTTCTGGGGCTTGAACTCAGGGCCTGGGCACTGTCCCTGAGCCTCTCTGTCCTCAAGGCTGGCACTCTACCACTTGAGCCACAGCGCCACTTCCGGCTTTTTCTGTTTATGTGGTGCTAAGGAATTGAACCCAGGGTTTCATGCATGCAAGGCAAGCACTCTACCACTGAGCTACCTTTCTAGCCCCCACTTTATGTTTTCTGAGAAGAGCTATTTTAGCTCCTCTGCCCATTTATTAATTTCCTTTGGTCCCGTGGAAAGTTTGTTCTTATTAATATTCTGTAAGCAATATTCCCACAATTATGTCTCAGAATTCTTATTTAATTCACATAATAAATATACAATTATTAAAAAGAAAACCAACTACTTTATGAATCATTTTAGATGCTTATTAGCACTTAATTTCTATTTTTATGAATAACTTTTCAATTTGTCATTTATACATGAATTGCAGAAAGTTCATGGCCCAGAATGGTAGTGCATGCCTGTAATCCTAGTTATGGAGGAGGCAGGCGGGAAGACTGCTTTGTAGGACAAATCCAAAAACAATTGATGAGACATTCCTTGAAAAATATTCTAAGGAAAAAATGGCCAAAGCCATGTATCTGGAGTAGAGTGCTAGGCTCTAAGAACAAACCACAAGACTGCCAATGAAGAAATTTTATAATGATATCCTTGATTTGTCTTATTTTAAGGAGAGAAGAGAAGAGGGAGGGCAAAGCTGTTCCTTGACATGAAGGTAATTATTTTTCTTTCTCTACAATGACATCCATCTTTATTTAGAATGTATTTTGAACTTAGAAAAGGCAATTGAAGAAGCTGGGCCTACAAAGTTCATATCCAATAGAGTTAAATTCCATCTCAAATGATAAATTTAGATTGATACATCTAAGTATCTAATTTCATAGTCTGCCTATTTATAGACTCATAAGTAAGTAAAATTAATTTTTACCTTTCTACATAAGAGCAATTAAGGATTTTATCTTTTGTATAATTCAGAAGACAATGATAAAAACTGTTAAGCTTTTGCAGTTAGCTGTTTATTTCTTTTTCTTCTTTATACCAGACATTAAACTCGTCCATAAATATTCCTGTGATTGCCTAAAATTGTACTACTTGCCAAACAATCTATAACCTATAGCACAGGTCTTAGAATTCTTTTCAAAGCTATGTTTTCTAATCTAAAATGGGTATATACATAGAGATATTTACATATAGAGAGATATAGATTATATATACACACAAACATGAGATATATTAAATATACACATTTACTCATATAAGAGCTTGTATACAAGCAGAGCTAATTTATTTCAAAGAAGAAAGAGTATGAGAGCATATAAATTATGCTTATTCAAATTCCACTGTAATATTTTTATTTTATTTTACATGTTAAATTTACTTACATAAATTTATATAAATTAGGACCCGGATGGACTAAAATGTAAGTGAAATAAGGAGTTTTAACGTCTTACTAAGGAAATCATACAGAATATTTTTATGAATTGTTTTAAAGTATTAATGACCTTAAGAACTGTTCGATTCTCTTGGATTTTTTGAATATTTTTATTATCTTTGGAGTAGTACAAAGGTGTTGCCATTCACCAAAGCAGTTTATGAATGCAGTACATCTTGATCCCTGTCACTCTTTCCACATTCTGGCCCATCCCTCCCACACCACCTCTTCTCTCTTCTTTATTTTAGGCTATGCACTGAATGTTTTGCAATTCAACAAACCAGGTGATGGGTACAATGCATTTCAGTCTGTATCACCATGTCAACATCTTCACTTCAACCCACCCCTTACCTTGAGTTCTTGCTCTTCCATACCTCTCCCTTTGGCCCCACCCTTCTCAATTTCTATAACCCATTTCCTGGTACTTATTTTGTTGAGCTTTAACTTTGTCTTTTTTTTTTTCTTTTTTTGGTCAGTTGTGGGGCTTGAATTCTGGGCCTGAGTGCAGTCCCTGAGCCTCATTGTGCTCAAGGCTAAAGCTCTACCACTTGAGCAACAGTGCGGCTTCTGGTTTTTGAGTGGTTAATTAGAGATAAGAGTCTCACAGGGAATGTTTCTGGCTGGGTTGGCTTGGAACTGCAATCCTCTGATCTCAGCCTTCTGAGTAGCTAGGATTACAGGCATGAGCCACTGGGTCTGGAGTGACTTTTTAGTCTTTTTAAAGAATTATACTATTTGTACTCTCCATAGAGTCTATTAAAATTATTAATTCCTTTTAACTCCTTTCTTACCATCCAGTGTGTTTACTTAAAAATTTATAGGCATATTCTAGCTACCACAAATGAGGGAAACCATGCAACCTGTGTTTCCCTAAGTCTGGCTTACTTCATTTAATGTAATTTTTTTCCCAAATCTTTAAATTTCCAAATGAATGGTGCAATATCATTCTTTCTGATGGATGAGTAGAACTTTATTGTGTATTTATATATCACAGTTTCTTGATTCATTTGTCCCTTGAGGAGCATTTGGGCTGATTCTGTATCTTGGCTATTGTAAGTAATGCTGTAATGAACATGGTTTTGTTGGTAGCTTTACGTATTTCCCAGCTTCCCCGGTATTGTAGTTACTTTTTCGGTTAGGCCCATGGATATGTTTTAGTGATTAAACTCAAAATTACACATTAAGTATCTGAGTTTCATGAAAGGGTTTTTATAATGATGTCTTATAATATGAATATTTTATCAATCATTGTTAAAGTGACAAGATTTTAAAATTAAAAATGATAAAGTTGAACTGTTAGTTTAATGAAATAGTATATGACATATTATGAATTATTTGTATAGCTAAGACAGATGCTGCTAATGGCCAAGTATTTACTCTTAGTGAGACAAAGGGCAGATCAAAGGAGGCTGAAGTTGTTAAAGGGATGACACAGATCAAGATACATTATATACATAAATTGCTTTGTTAAATAGCAAAAAGAAAAGCTAGGGAAGGGTTGGAGTGGGAATGTTGAAAGGTATGATGTTGAGCAAGATGCATTGTATTCATAAACTTGTGTACAACTACTTAAATATAAAAATATTAACAAAAATTTAAAAAATGGATTCTGAATTCTGGCCACTACAAATATAGGAGAATAATTACAAGAGGTAATTAAAATTGCAACTCATGATACGTGAATCTTTGTGTACTACAATGAACCTTTGATAATTAAACAGTGAAGAATGACTCCAAATTATAATTCTTCCAATGATTAAGGAATATTTGGTTTTATAATTTTAATCATGTATCAGAGTTCTACTATCCTTTTACTCATCTGTAATAACCAATAGAGGTGGTTGGTTTTTCTCTGACTTGCCACCACCATTCTGAGCATGATAAATAGAGCCAAAGCTAAAAGAGGACATGAAACAGGGTTAGACATGAATTAAAGGTGAAGAACTCTGTTAAGGACAACCTGCTTCCCAATAATTCTATCACCTACTTGAAAGTACACATTTTTAGGAGCTATCAATTCCCAGCATAAGCTATTCATCCTGCAATTTGTATGTGGAAGATAGTTTTCCTCTTTTGATGACTAACTTTCCCTTGAGTCAAACTTAGAACACTAAAAATAAAATACAGATATTAAAGATTTACTGCTTTATTGATTTGTTGATCTGTGAACATAAGACTAAATCACTCTATTTGCAGTGATGAATAAAGATTTTAAAATGTAACTAAAATCACAGAAGAAAAATCATAACATAGGCACTACCTTGAAGTTAAAGTTTTATATATCC